GAGAGAGAGAGAGAGAGAGAAGAGATAGAGAGAGAAAGGTGAGGATTTCTGGTTTTTGAGAGAATGGGTGCTCCATTATCAGCTTGGCCATGGGAGAACTTAAGTAGCTATAAGGCATGGTCACACATATCACTTCTAATATTCTTTCTTTCTCTCTCTAGTTTTAGTATCTTGCTCCTTGAATACATGTCTAATAGGTTTTGGTTTTTTTTATTTTTTTCCATTCCTTTTGATTTGGCAGTATGTATTGTATGGGCCTTTGATTGCCAAAGCACTGCATTGTGTGTTATGGAGTGGAAATGATTCAGAAAGATGGTGTGTCCATATACTAATAATATGTGCCCTAAGAGGCCTCATTCATCAGCTCTGGTTCTCATATAGCAACATGCTTTTCCTCACAAAGAAATTAAGGGTTCTCCAACAAGGGGTGGATTTCAAGCAAATTGACAGAGAATGGCACTGGTATGATTTTACAATCTCTCTCTCCCTGAGGCACAAACAAAAGGGTCATGCCAATGTCATTCCTCTCTCTCTAAAGCACAAACAAAATGGTTATACCTGTTTCACTCCTCTCTCTCTCTCTCTCTAAGGCACAAATAAAAGGGATATACCAATTTCATCCTCTCTTTCTCTCTCTAAAGCACACTGAGACATGCACACAAAGGGTGGATACCGATTTCCTTCTAACCCCTCTATGTCTCTCTAATGGTGGATGCTAATTTCATTCCTGCACTCCTCTCTCTTCCTTCATACTTTTCTCATTTACAGGGACAACTTCATCTTGCTTCAAGCTTTGATGGCAACATTTGCATGCTATTACTTCCCTTCCTTCACCAAAAGTCTTCCTCTATATAATACAACTGGCTTCATTTGTGTACTGCTCCTTCACATGGGATTTTCAGAGTCATTATACTATGGGGTACACCGATTGTTTCACTCTGATTATCTCTACACCAACTACCACTCATTCCACCACAAATCCATGGTGTCACAATCCTTCACAGGTAGGAGCAAGACTCCCCATCTCTCCCATAACCCTCTCTCATCCTGCATTGTGTAGAACACTAAAACCCCATTAATGACTCATATTTTTTGTATCTCTCTCTCACATCATGCATTGTGTACTACACTAAAACCCCATTAATGACTGATATTTTTTGTGTTTCTGTCTCATTAAATATTTTGCAGCCGGTTCAGCTAGCCTATTGGAACATATAGTACTATGTTTTATTATGGGGATCCCTATTGTTGGAGCTTCATGGATGGATTGTGCATCTCTATCGATGGTGTATGCATACATCATGGCCTTTGATTTCATGAGGTGCCTGGGTCATTGTAATGTGGAGATCATACCACACTCTCTGTTCGAGTGGATGCCCCTTCTAAGATACATCTTCTACACCCCAACGTAAATTCCATGCTCTCTCTCTCTCTCTCTCTCTTCTTTCCTTTCTTCTACTA